TCTGTCCTGACTTCTCATTCTGCTCTCTGGGTCTCTCTCCAGCTCTCTCTTTCCCCCATTGCTGCTAACAGTCTGCCTTTCACTGCCTCCACAATGAGTGAGCCTGCCATGGAAGCCCGTGTCTGAAACCAAGAGTACACAAGCCTTAGTTAAGCGAGCACCTCACTTGCTTCCACACCCACTCAGGTCTTAGCTGCCATCATGGACAGAATCTCTGATGACCCTGCACTTGAAGTAAGAAGCCAAATTTCCTAAGTATATTACCGACCATGATTCTTAGTTCTGAATCTTCCCTACATACTCAGATTTCACAAAGAAATAAAATACTGTCCACTTTTTAATAATACACCAATCACAACTCTGCCCATACATGCTGAAAAAAATCCTCATAGACAAACTAACTGGCCTCTTTTACATTTTTATACTCATTCAATGATCTAAATGACTGATCTAAACTGCCCATTATAAAGAGACTACAATACCTTGTCCTGCTCGTGACTTAGTGCTCGCACCTCACAACTTGCTGGCCCGGTCATAGTATTAGCAGGCTGTCTCAGTACTTCCTGGTAACACTATCTCAGACCCTGGCCACGCATCTGGAGTGCAGCCGAAGCACAGAGCTGGAGCTGTCCATCATCCGAGCTGAGAAGGACTGCTTGGGTAGGGAGGGCATGGAGACTTCAGAAGGAAGGCTAAGTGGACGACGTGGCCAGGAGAACTGCAAGGCTCCTCCACACGGCCTCCCCCACTGCCACTGACCGGAAGAAAGAAACCTTCAACTGTTAAATGTTAGGATATGTTGAGGAGCACACAGCCACGAGACAGGACCAACAAGGACTCAGCTTCTGAATGGGAAACACAAGCCTCACCTCTTTGGGTGTCGGACTCTCTGTATTTGGCACACAGTAAAGTTTTATAAACTATAAGCTATGTTTTATGCAACTACTAGACATTATGGTTAAGATATCTGGAATATAATTAGACTGACCGTGCCAAGGAAAGCTGTTTCAGTAACTACCAACATGGCCACAGACAAGGAGGTCCTAGAAAGGCTGGCTTCTTCATAGTGCTTTCTCTATGCACTGTATGTTAAAGAGCCCCCCAGTCATTATATGCATGTCCCTACGTGCCCTTCAGACCACGACTTGTCTAAGCAAGTTGAAACTTGATTTCCTGTAAAACGAGGTATAACAAGGAAGTTACAGATTAAATAATTCAAAATCGGTGCTTCAAGAGCATGAATTTTAGATGGTTGTTGTATATAAGACACATTTATAAACAGAAATTTCTGGTAAATAAATGTGGACACTGAATGAAGATATTAAGTAGTAGTGACGCAGCTGGCCATGGTGGCACATGCCTTTAAGCCCAGAACTTCTGAAGCAGAGGCCTACACAGTGAGTTCCTCAAAAAAAAAAAAAAAGAAGGAAGGAAGGAGGAAGGAGAGAGAGAGGGAGGGAGGGAGGGAGGGAGGGAGGGAGGGAGTAACTTATGGCAGCAACACTGGCTATTGAATCCGGGTAGTCATGTAGTCATGTGCTGACTGGCTGGTTCATCTGACCATCAACCATCCAGAAGCTGATGCTTAGAGTTCCCATCAAATCTATTGAGTCTTGGATTTTAGGCACGTCAAATCAGGAATCAAATCAGTCCCTAGGAGTCGGGGTGCTGTACTTCTGCCCCGCCCTCTCCTTTATAAACAAAAGCAAAGTCTATGGCTTGGGGGTGATGCAAAACTAAGACCATCTTGGAACCTTTGTGGGAAGAGAGGGTGAGGCGCAGCTCCCACTACTGCTGGGCTATCTGCCATCTCCGCCCCGGGATAGTCTTTGGAACACAGAAACACTACACTCATGAGGTATCTATCTCGAAGCATGGGAAAGCAGAGAAGGAGCCTGCATCTCCAAGAGAGCAGAAGAGAGTGTAAAGGTCGAGCGTTTGAGGACATGTGCTAACCCTGAAGTCACTAGCGGTGCTATAATTCTAAGCACGCTAATTGACCAATTTTTCATTTATTTTGCAGTGGGGATTGAACCCATGGACTCATGCATGCTAGGCAAATGCTCTGTCACTGAGCTATTGCTTCGTAGTTCTGTGACAGTCTGGTTCCAATATGAAACAAAGGCCTGCTAATAGCCTATAGCAAGACACTGTTCTCTCTTTATTAAAAACTTGAGAATTTCCACATTGTTTATCAGATAGAGAAAACAGATATGCAATTCTTCTTAAAGAAAATGGGAAAAGTCCTCAGAGGAAGAATAAATCTGAAGCAGACATTCTAGAGGAAGGAACAAATTAGATTATGTGATTATGTTATTTATTTATAAAAAGAAAAATAATCAACATCCTTAGTTTTTACTTTGCCATAAAACTACACACATTTATACCCACAAATGTGCTGTCGTATACTTTACAAACTGGTGCTAAACTGGACTCTGATTATCCCCCCTGTTGGGGCCTACAAAATCAAACAAGGTGTGAGTCCGTGTGAAGGTAAGCAAGCAGCTAACCACAGGCAGATCCTCGCATGTGAGTCCACTGGTCCACACGGCTTCAGTGTCCTAGGCAACTCACTTGAAAGCCTTGTCAGCCGCCCAGACAGTGAACAGCTTCATGTCGCCAGTGAACGCACAAACTTCACGAACATGAACTAAATCTGCTAAAGCCTAATTTATTGTCGGGCTTTCTTTTGAGAAAGGAAGGTCGAGAATACAGCAGATGCACGGCCAGCTAGATGCGTGGGCCGACTGGACAAGAAGAAGTAAATCTCACTCCGTTGATGCAGACGCTCCGGAAGCACTGCTGTGTGGAGAGGGCCCAAAGAAACACGAGACTCAGGCCGAGGCTCCTTGCGGTCTAATCCCTACAAGGAATTACGGTTGCTAATGAATGTGTGCTCTGAAGTCAGGGAAAGTGCTTTGTGTATCTTCCAGTGGGGTGGAAATAAAGAAGGACAGCAGGAGGCCACAAAGAAACTAAATGCTAACTCAGCTCCTCTGTTGGCTCAACAAAATTACAAATCTTTTGGTTCTTCAACAACATCTCTGTTTTGGTTCCTACAGGTTTCAGAGGAATTCTAGAAACAACAAACCTCAGACCATCTAACACCTTCACCTGACCCTGCAAGTGGATGTCAAGCTACAAACAACACAGCTATGTTTTGCATTTGCCTGATGAACTTTACAGTTAATAAAAAGCCAAAGGAAGAATTAAAAAGGCAGAATAAAAGGTTATAATTTTAAAACAAGCATATTTGGGAAAGAGCCAGTGTGTGGGGAAGCTAAACTCAGCCTCTGAGAAGCCCTGACACCACAGGCGTCATCAGCTAAACACCAGTCACAAGACAACTCAACCCTCCTGCGGGTAATTGCTAACGCCATTTAATCCACAGTTCTGAGCATTAGTCAAAGTCTTTGCCTAGAACATATTCCTAACATCTGAAACTTGTCTTAGGTCAAACTTCTAGAAAAGTAATCAACATTACGGCAACTGTGCCCTTTCTGTGTTCAGAAGAAGCTGAGTAATGCTCAGTGGTTTACACACCCGGGGACTTCTGGAAAGCATCGTCAGATTGCTTCAGTGTTAGATTATTCTTGCTTAAAACAGTGGAAACTTACAATAGGAGCAAACGGGAGCATTCTGACTGTACATGTGGATGGAGAACTCACAGATGCTCCTCCAATACTGATACGGCACACATACTTCCATGTGCTCAAATACAGAACACACACACACAAGCTAAACATGAAAGTAATGTGAAGAAAAACACTAAGTTGGCTAAACAGTACTCCCTAAGGGTGAGCACTTTCCTGGAATTGTACGATTGAGAACGTTCATTACCCAATGCTGAAAGAACTGCACAAATATTTTAACTTGGATGTCTAGACAATCTGGCATGGACTCTCAATCCAGAGGGTAACAAAAAAATCTCAAATATGCTAATTTAAAATGCTCTTTTAGTAGTAAAGGCATTTTATTTCTTAGTATCAGAAACTAAATGGCCCATACATAGTAAAGTATAAGGAATTTTAAGGTAGAAAACTAAAGCATTTCTTATAAGAACATAAAATAATATATAATAATTATTATAAGAAACAAGTTTTTCGATCCTGGTTTTGAGTTAATTTTTTATTTTATTTTTCGGCTTTTTTCGAGAAAGGGTCTCATTATGTAGCTCTGGCTGTCTTGAAACTCACTCTGTACACTAGACAGGCATTGAATTCACAGAGATCCACCTGCCTCAGCCTCTGAGTTCTGGGATTAAAGGCGTGTACTACCACACTCAACTTGAGTCTACACTATTAAGACAATAGAACACCACACTAAGAGAGGGTTTTTTGTGGTGTTTCCCGGCGTTACTTCGCAGTGACAAAGCCACCAACAGCCATGCTAGAGACAGCAGCAATGACCCCAGGGGACAAGGAAGTTAGGCGGCATTTAAAAAGGAAGGGTGACAACACAGGTCTCCACTTCCCCGTATGAAAGGAATGGCAGGGAAATCTCAGTCTTAAGTAAAAGCATCTGAACACACGAGAGAGAGCACACTGGGCCTCACTCTTGCAGGTGGTGTGGTTATACGCAGGCAAAAGGAAAGAAACTCATAAAACTATAATGCGGAGCAGGGCCAATCACACAGGCCTAACTTACAGATGTCAAAGAAGGTAAGGACAACCGAGGGGCGCCATGGCATGTGCTGTCTGAAGGCCTGGACCACTGCTCAAACCTTTCTGCCTGGGATTCAGCGTCACCTCATCATCACGGGGCAGGGCATGCGCTCTCTCTCTCTCTCTCTCTCTCTCTCTCTCTCTCTCTCTCTCTCTCACACACACACACACAC